TATTACCCAACTGTGGTCAGTGAGGCGTAAGAGAAAGATCCACAGTGGGGGGGCTTCTGGGAAAGGTTCCCTGTGAAACCATTAGAAGACACAGTCTCTCTTCCTCCTCTGAAAACTCTGGTGTCTGGATGCAGTGCGTGGAACAGCCAGAGCCCACTCGGTACTGGGCCAGGGAGGAGGAGGTGGACCCCAAAGATGATTTAGAGAAGATGCTGTTAGAGCCTCCATCCCTGATGACAACTTTAGGCTTCACTGAGGCGTGGGGTTGCAGGTGCAGGAGAAGAAAGGTGTGGAGAGCGCTTTCTCTCACTTTCAGCTTGTATTGCCACAGAACACATTACCTCAAGAGGCAGAGCCTTAAAGTAAGAAGCATTAATTATCTCGACATTTCTGTGGGCACAGCTGGGTGCTTGCCTCTGTCTGAAAGTCTCTTACAAGGTTTCAGCCAAGGTGCCATTGGGCTGTGGTCTCAACTGTGGAGGCTCCTGAGGGAGCATCTGCTTCTAGGCTCACTCCACAGGGCATTGGCTGGACTCCATTCTCATGCTTGGTGGGCTTAGAACCTCATTCACTTACTGGCTGTTGGCTAGAAGCTTCCTCAGTTCTTCACCATGTGGGTCTCCCCACAGAGCAGCTCTCAACATGGCGGCTGGCTTTCCTTGGAGTGAGCAAGGGAGAGAGGGTAACCAAGATGGAAGCCGCAGTTGCTGTGTTTTTAGCCTAATCCCAGCAGCGACAAAGGACATCCCACTACGTCGGCCATATTCTGTTCTTTGATTTTAGTCACTCAATTTAGCCCATGTTCAAGGGAAGAGGACTATACAATGGGATGCACACAGGAGATGGGGACCATTGGGACCCACTTTAGTGGTATCCACCACACCACCAAAGGCATCCTAACAGGTAGGCCAGAGCAGGAAACAAGCATAAAGTGACAGCTTTGTGATGCTGACTAGTACTGAGGTCCCCACAACTTTCTCAAGTACGACCACAAGTGTTGGGTGATCGCCGACTCTATGGAGAGTATCCCAAAGACAGAGCTAATCAGGGACTGGATGCCCTTCAGCCTGGAAAACATCTTAATTCAATAAAGCTAATGGGATATCGAGTGTGATTATAATGTGATACTTGTGATCTGCAGAGAGACATATTCTGGCATATTCTGCTATTGAATATATGCTGTGCATGTTGAAGAGTGGATACACATAGGAAATAAGACCCGTGAAGCTACCAAGTAGCTTATACAAGCAGGCAGGGTGGACAAGTGTGTGTAATACAGCGTGGTGAGGAAACACCCCGATGTGGGAGAAGAAATCTGGACTGGAGGGGTAGCAGGATGGCTTCCTGAGAGGTGGCAGGGTGTGCTGAGCACACAGAGAGTTCACATCAACCTGACACCCACGCGGGGCATACCCGCAGGGAGCTGGACAATGGGCTGTACGCAGGTGGGAGCCAGAAACACACAGGAGCAGACATTCACTGCTCTTCTGCCTACAAACCATACTTTGGCTCGGAAAGAGTGCAGGGATCACAGCCAAAAGACGCATTGACCGAGAATACAAGGTCTTCTCCCTTTGGCTTGGTTGCGGGTGAATGTGGTTTCCATGACCATGTGTCAAGTGTTGGTCGCATCTTCAGCACGAAGATGGGAGATGAGGAATTCAGCTAGTCATCAGGTTGCCTAGGGAAGGCTGGTGGTGGGATGGAATGTTCTGGCAAGCATTTGGATGGGGACTGCACCAAGACCCTAGAGAGGTCAGAGTCAGGGCTAGCGAATGGCTGGAACAGAACATTCTGGAGACATTCAGAATGCAGGGCAATGCCCTGGAAGACCCATTTCATGTCTTCTTGCGCCTTCTTTCACGTACAGACCATTATGTATCAGCTCTTCCATTCTTTTCATCCATAAAAGTTGGCTGAGCTCATGGTTTTCAACAAAATGCATTTTTCGTCTAACAACCTAAGTGGACTATACTCTCTATTGCAGAAATATCCATCAATCCACAGAGCCAAAGATGCCCTGTGGGGGTTCTTGGCATGGTGGCGAAAACTGCATGGGAGTAGACAGAGCCAAGACTGAGGGTCAAAGATACTCTAATGAGAATTCCTGCCATACCTATATTGTGGTAAGGCTCGGGGCCAGGGATGTAGGTCCTTCTGACTCAGTTTCTCCCAGTGACAGAACCTACCCCTAGTGCTGGGGTGGGGTGTGAGCGAGATGTCACCTGTGAGATGCCGTGTGGACTGCCCGGCTGTCATCGGTAGTCAGGGTCCGTCTCCACCAGGAGCACATCTGAGTGCTCTGAGACCTCACGGGTCTGAGACCGAACGCAGGAGGAGGTGGACAAGGCATAAAAGCATCTGTACCGAGCTTCCCTCTGCACAGTCACAGAGAACCAGAAGTCTGGGGTGTCTGGGTGGCTCAGTTCATTAAGCATCTGCCTCTTGAGCTCAATTCAGGTGACAATCTCAGTTTGTGAGTTCGAGCCCCAGTGTCCGGCTCTGTGCTGACAGCGTGGAGCCTGCTTGGGATTCTCTCTCTCTCTGCCCCTCCCCTGAGCACCCTCTCCCTCTCTCTCTCTCAAGATAAATAAAAAAACACTTAAGGAGAAAACCAAATAGTCAGGAATTGGACTGGAAGAGTAGGTAATGTGTAGATGCCAGCAAGGGGTGCAAATGCACATCCAACATTCCTGTGCTAACAGCCCCAAGCTCCCTTGAGACAAGGTGGTCCCCCGATTTCAACGTCTTGTGAAAATAAGACTGATGACAACTAAGGCTTGTCTTCCTTTTTTTTTTTTTTTTTTTTTTAATGTTTTCATTTTTGAGACAGAGAGAGACAGAGCATGAGCAAGGGAGGGGCAGAGAGAGAGGGAGACATAGAATGTGAAGCAGGCTCCAGGCTCTGAGCTGTCAGCACAGTGTCTGACGTGGGCTGGAATTCACGAACTGTGAGATGGTGACCTGAGCCAAAGTCAGACACTTAACTGACGGAGGCACCCTGGTGCCCCAGGAGATCCCAGTTTTCAATGCTGAGGGAACGGGCAAGAAAGTTGTGCTAATTAGGTAAAATAACAGCTCCAGGTTGGAGGCCCTAAATTCTGGTGCACGAGCAGCCAGCACGAGGACCAGGAGGAGGAGGAGCATGTGCGGAGCCCTGGCTACCTGCACGGCGTGACGCCAACACCCCATGGCGCCCCCATCCCTCCTCCTCTTCTTCACTGTTTTACTGGCATTGCTGTGGGTGCACAGAGGCGAAGAGAAGGGCAGGGAATTAGGAGTTGTGACTGGAGGGCAAAGGAAGCTCTGATGACCTGGGTCTGCGCAAACGAACGTGTGGAAAGAATAACCCAGACCCCCGGCGTAAACAGAACCGTGAAGCAGAAGACGGTGAACCTTATCTCCTGTCCGTTGCCTGCTGACCTCCTTTTGTAAGTCCACTAAGGGCAGGGGTGGGAAAGGAGGTCACAGGAGAGGAAATCTGTCCTACCCAAGCCTGATGCCACCTTTGTAAGGAGCACCCTCCCCAGCTCTTGCCCGGCGATCTCCCCAATAGACACCACACCCCGACAGTGCGCTTCAAGCACAGGAGGGACTGAGGTCCGTTGGTTAGCGTCAGTTCCAATGTGGAATAACGCAGGAGGCTGGCTCTCCCACCCTGCGGGGTCTTGTGACCGTTCCCTGATGGCCCACGGGCTGCGTTCAGCTTTGCCCTCTTCCCTCCGCGCTCCTTCCCTCACCGGGTCCCCCACGGATGAGAATCTGTGCGTGGTGACAGCAGCCACGGAGTGGCCACCAAAGCCCATGGCCTTGGCACGCGGGGCTCAAGCGCTCTTCGGAGATGGGACCACTCCCGAGTTATCTGCACTCAGTTGTACTCCTTCTGACCAGGAACGTCTCATCCTTTGTTTTTCAGCGCCCTGCAGAAAGTGCTTGTTTCCGGAAGCACATCCGATGGCAAGATGATCAAACATGTTTGAGGGACGGAAACGAAGTATTTGTAAAGAAAGAGGAAATGAATCGGATTATTTTTCCTACAGTAGTAGGTGTGGAATCCCACAATTATCTTCTTTACCCCGAAGCTTAATCATCACTTCCAAAGAAGACAGGGGAAGATCAAGTGGTCCAATGGCAGGAACGTACAAACTTCCCGACCTGAAGGCTGCACCCACTCGTGGGTACTGGCTGCTCCCTGGGCGGAAGCCCACAGCGCTATTACGAAAGGGGACTGGGACCCTTTACAGCGAAGCATCGCTACCGAGCTGACGCATCCTGAAAGGGGTGAGCACAGGCTTGGCGTGCTGGTGACACCATCGGAATGCATACAGTTAAAGCTATAAAATGATTACCTGTCTGGAGGCGGAAGTGCTATACACAGTACTGCTTGAAGTCCTAAAGAAATCTCCTGAGACAATGAAGAAAGCCGATCTCAGTCACCAAGTGACAAGAGGTAGAAAACAAGGACCTTCATTCTGGCTTTTGCTAGGCTGAGCTCAAGCTGCTTCCCTTTCTGTTGCCTCAGTTTCCCTTTCTGCAGGATAGCACTACTACTGTCCAGCCACTGACCATACGATTCAAAGGTCCCGGTCTTGAACGTGGCTCCCCTCGGCACTCACGGATGGCCGCAGTGAGCTTCCCGGCAAAATCACAGACGTGCTGAGCCGGGCTGCACGGGCTCTTGCTCTCCCCAGACACTGGGGTTGGTGTCATGTCGGGAACGGTGGCTCCTAGTGGACTGTCCCCACCCACGCGATAAGACTCTGGCGGAGTTCTGACCACAGGGTGAGTGATTAATGAGTTAACGTCATTCTTTCTGGGGACCCGCATCGCGTTCAGAGAGCATTCGCTGTGAAGTCGGACACACCGCATCGAGCATTTGGAAAGAAAAGCCAGAGAACAAACGCACAGACACCCCCAGGCAAGAATGGAAAGTCTGGAAACGCAGCCCTGACACGGGTGACCAGAGCACAGAGCGGGGAAAGGAAGCAAGAGGCACGTACGTGTGGGTCTTGGGTCGGGAGCCTCGGAACCAGCACTTTCCCCAGGAAAGCCGAGAGGCTCTTCCACATCTGTGTCCGGAGGAGGGCAGGGCGGGGGCGGGGGGAGCACTAACTGGGGGGGCCCCCGAGCAGTGCCTCGGGGAGGCTTTTGTGGCACCTGCCGTCGTCCAACACCTACATGGAATCAATGGGAGTTGCTTCAGAAGGTTAAGTCTACAGACTCTGCCCTCCAAGGGTGGGGGGCACGTGGCCATCATTCCCCCAGGCACCAAATCCAGCCTCATGGCGCCAAATCCAGCCACACCCTGTGCCCAATCTAACCACACTCAGTACCAAATCCAACCACACTCGGTACCAAAGTCAACCTCGATGTGAGCATCAAATCTGGCCACACCCAGTATCAAGTCCAACCATACTTAGTAGCAAAGTCAGACTCACTGCACCAGAGCCAGCCACACCCAGTATCAAAGTCAACTTCACCAAGATGGAACCGCACAGGCCAACAAATCCAGCCACGCCCGGGACCAAATTCAAACTCGCTAGGCATCAAGTCCAACCTCACACACGCACGCTTCAGATTTTACACACAGTCTCCCCTCTTTGGGCCAATTTGGTGATACCGACTTGTTTACAATGTTTCTGGCAGGCATGACTACTCTCAAATGCTGGGCTTGAAGTTATTCGTAAAAGTCCCTTCAGCAGCTCCGTCAAGTCAAAAGGAACTCCTTTTATTCAGGTTCATTTTTATTAGGGTCACAGAATTATTTTTTAGCTTCCTCTTATTATTTTTACCGATTAACTCTAGCGGGTCGAATAACCACTAATTCAGCTCACTTGTTTAAGTCTGTATATATCCTCAATCTTTTCCATCATTTAGGGGAATAGTTTTCAAACTTTATTTGAAGAGGTTTCCAGGGCGCTTGGGTGGCTCAGGCAGTGAAGTGTCTGACGTTGACTTAGATCATGATCTCACGGTTTGTGGGTTCGAGCCCCACGTCGGGCTCTGAGAGTATGGAGCCTGCATGGGATTCTCTCTCTCTGTCCTTCTCTCTCTGCCCCTCCTCCTCTCATGCTTTCTCTCTCTCCCTCTCTCTCTCTCTTTCTCTCTCTCTCTCTCTCAAAAATAAATAAATAAACTAAAAAAAAATGAAGAGGGTTCTGACTTGGGGAAAGAGGTCAGGGTGGTGTCCCTCCCCTCTGACCCTGGAATCTTGAGGGCATCCCTCTCCGCTCTTTTCACACACTGGGGATTGGCTTCCCATTTTATAGGAAAATGATTTCTTCTGCTAATAAGATTTTTGAAGGTCAATGAGTTAAGATAACAAAGCCATATAAATCACTTGTGTCAAGCTTCCTAGTATTTCTTTTAAAAATGCTTTCTTCAAGCTTTAATGTTTAAAGATCTTTTAAAGAAATGTTTATTTATTTATTTTGAGAGAGAGAGAGAGAGAGTAGACAAGGGGCAGAGAAAGGTGGAGAGAGCAAGAATCTGAAGGAGGAGCTAAGCTGTCAGCACAGAGCCTGATGCGGGGCTTGAACTCAGAAACGGTGAGACCCTGAGCTGAAACCAAGAGTCAGACTCCTACCCGACTGAGCCACCCAGGATTAATGTTTAGAATCATCTTCGGACTACTACACTCTGTGTTTCATGATCATAATTAGATTATTAATAAAAAGGTTAAGAAATAGAATTTCTTCATCAAGAGATAGATCCACTTACTTCTCTTGATTACAGTTCTTTCGACGTGGAGAAATACTGATGTTCCCCATAGCTAGACATCACTTCTCCCTTCAAAGTGCAAAGAAGCCACAAGCGGTCGGGATGAAGGTTGTCTGTTGGGTCCAGGTAAGTATCGTTAAATGAGAGGGCGCCCCCCAGGGCAACGCAGGAAGGAGGAACAGTTTATGTATAGGAAGCTTTCCTACTAGAAGGCTTATTTTAGTTTGCCAAGGAATTTGGGTCAGACTCAATTCCAGCCAGCAAGTTCCAATTTCTTTTTCCCTTTTTATATCTAGGTATCTGAACAGAAAGTGCTTGCGTGTGTGTGTGTGTGTGTGTGTGTGTGTGTGTGTGTGTAACTGGATGGGGCTACTTTAAAAAAAATTTTTAAGTTTTTTTTTTTATGTTTATTTTGAGAGAGAGAGACAGTGTGTGAGCAGACGAAGTGCAGAGAGAGGGAGACACAGAATCCGAAGCAGGCTCCAGGCTCCGAGCTGTCAGCCCAGAGCCCGACGCGGGGCTCTAACCCACTGGCCGTGAGATCATGACGTGAGCTGAAGGCGGATGCTTAACCAGCTGAGCCACCCAGGCGCCCCTTAAAATTTTTATCTGTTAATGCAAAGCCCAGACTTTGGTTAAGAGACCTGCCTGTGGGCTGCTAGCGTGCTGTGAGATCGTGGGGATGCTGACGGGGATAGACGTGTCACTGAAAATTGCTACCAAGAGCTCTACCATCCTCCTGATCCTCCAATGCATTGGAGGTCATTTTCAGTAGGAAGGCTTCTTTTTTCAATCTCTGCAAACCAAAGTTTACGGCTGAGAGAGAGAGACGAGGAGTGAATCACTGCCGTCCATACCTCCTCTTTGTGCCGAGCTCCTCAGCGCGGGGACGGTCCCTACAGTTTTCATTCTTCACACACCCACCTCCCTCTCTTGTGACACCTGTGGGCGCTGGCTGCCCACCCACACCCGGGCCAGGTCCTCCAAGCCTGGGGACGCACCACCACCTAGAGTGGATGCTTCCTGAAGTTGCAACAGGGACTGTAAATCGGAGGCTGCCTTTCCTTGCCCACTGTGGGCTGCTTGCCCACAGCAAGCGTGGGCGAGAGCTCGGGAGGGAGAATGGTGATCTCGTCATAAAAAAAGGAGACTCCCAGCTTTATTTCGAGGAGCTACTGATCATGCGCTCTGAATGAGACAGTATTTTCCTTTGGTAAAAGGATAAACAGACATGAAATATAGGTTTCTGCTCCTTAGGATAACCATGTCTCTGGCTGTGAAAGGCTATGACATCGGAAAGGAGGTATTGACTGCGGGGGGAAAATGCCGACAAGCAGCCAAGTAGCTCGTATCAGAGTTCTGGACACTGGCAATGCAAGCACTTATCTTTGGGGGGCTTCTTTTGGGGGGCACTTCTTTTAGGTCAAGGCCGAAACATGAGGGTGCTGAGTGGAGTGAAAGGCGTTGGGCATGGCCATCGGACGGCCTCTGTTATGAGACGATCCTCCCTCAAGGTCAGGCAACCCCCACTATTCCTCCTCCTACAGAAACAAAATAACAAACCCTGAGTGGTTTTAAAATTACATTAACCAGGGGAGCCCGCGTGGTTCAGTCGGTCAAGCATGTGACTTCAGCTCATGTCATGATCTTGCAGTTCATGAGTTCGAGCCCCATGTCGGGCTCTGGGCTGACAGCTGGGAGCCTGGAGCCTGCTTCGGATTCCGTGTCTCCCTCTCTCTCTCTGCCCCTACTCTGTCTTTCTCTCCCTCTCAAAAATAAATAGAGATTAAAGAATTTTTAAATTAAATTAACCACCCACAGCTCATGGAGCTGGAGACCCCAGTTGCTTCTCTCTATGCTGCCTGTACCATGAGCTGGTGGCATTTAATGATCTAATAGGTCTCTCTGCTCCCAGATACTATAGTTTTGTTCTCTTTCCTTCGGGTTCTCTTTTCCTCAAAAAGTATTAGGGTCTCTGCTACAGATATAAAAGGGGAGATCAATTTCAAACAGGGGGGTCAAGAAATTACCGAACTGTTGTCAACTGATCTATAAGTCTCTGGGAACCAGAGGACTTTCAAAACAGTTTACAGACATCATCTAAGAAGTACATCCTTCCATCAGGGAGATGTGTGTGCACACACATGCACACGCACACACATACACACACATGTGTACACGCCGCTCACCCCTTTCCGAGCTGCTTCATCAGGGAGACACACACGTGTGAGCGCACACACGCACACACCCCGCTCGTTCTCTCCCGAGCTGCCTCGGCCGTTCTCCACCCTCTCCCCCACCCGCCTTCCACCTGCCTCCACGATGCCCGGAAAATATGCCTTTGAGATGAACTCGCAAGTGTTTATTTCCAGACTTTCTTTCCTTGGCATAGATATTTTCCCAGTTAATGCCCTTGGCGGGACGAGGCGGCTGCAGGAGTTAATAGCAGCGCGAACATTCCACGCAAAAAGAGACTCAGAGGCATGCAGTCAGCAGCGCGGCACACTCACCCGTGGTGCTCTTCCTCTTCTCCTCCTGGTCCTGAGTGCGAGGGGGCACCAGGGGGCTCGGCGGCGGGGGCTGTGGCGGCGGCGGCGCTGGCGCCCGCCTCTTCTTCTTCTGCATGTCTACCTGTGACCCCAGAGACACCTGGGAAGCACCAAGAAAGGCAACAGTGAGTGTCAGGGCATTTCTATCGCGGGCGGGGTGTTGTGCACGTGGGGCACACGACTTGGAGAAGCCGGCCCATGTGACGCGTGGGGCTCTAAGGAGGCTTGGCAGGTTGCCAGGCTCCTTTCTGGGGTCCCTGGGCGGGCAGCGGATGCCCCGGTGTGAGGGTTCGCCGCATTGCCCAGGAGTGGTCCTCAGGTGGCCCGAGGATGCTCACAGACGTCCCCTAGCATGGGGACCTGGGGCTCTGCCCCATTTTACCCCATTTACCCATTGTACCAAGGGATTTCAGGCCAGTCAGGGGACGTGGTAACTTACCCTCAGCATGAATATGAGAAACGGGACCCTCAGCCCTTAATGAAACGCACAAGAGAACTATTCCTTCTGGAAACTTTACCGGGGCCACCATGGTGTGTGCCCGTGCAGGGGGGGAACATAAGGGGGCGGCTCAGGGCTCACTTTGCAGGTGGAAGTACCTGCTCTTGGTGTGTTCCCGAGCTGTCAGGACCAGTAACTGTCCACGGACCGGCCACTCCTTGACCGGCAATGACAATGAAGTCAGCCTACGAGCCATCCAGCTCTGGTCCGCGCAGAAACCCGGCTCCCACCAAATACTTCTCACAACGCCAAACTCTCAGCTTTGAAAGGCTGTCAGCACCAGGCAGGTCTAATGGTGGAAGGGAAGCTCTTCTAGAGAAGACCCTGTCCGCTGACTGCGCGTCTTTGGAAAAGACTACGGAATCTACTCTCTTCCTCATTACAGAGTTTTCACCTGTTCATTCTCAGCGATGAAAATTTGTTGCTTTTCCAAGTGTGGCGTTCCTGGTCTGCTGACCCCAGCCCAGCAGAACCCCTCCAAACTCTTCTTTCCTTTGATATTTACTGTGTTTTTTATTTTTTAATTTTTAAAAATGTTTTTATTTATTTTTGAGAGAGAATGAGTGAGCACGAGCAGAGGAGGGGCAGAGAGAGAGGGAGAGAGAATCCGAAGCAGGCTCCACACTGTCAGCACAGAGTCCGGACTCGGGACTTGAACTCACAAACTGAGATCATGACCTGAGCCGAAGGTGGATGCTCAACTGACTGAGCCACCCAGGCGCTCCTACTCTGTTTTTTTAAAATCATGAGCTTATTCTGTCATTTCCTGATTTCTCTGTGTTAGACAATGGCTTCTTCTTCAGAAGATGAGGAGTCAGCCCTTTGAGACACACGCACAGACCTACACGCGTGTTTATGGCTCCCCATTGATCTTTCCAGAAGTTACGGCATGGGATTAAATCAACACTCTCTAGATCTATGTATATAGTTACAATAGACAGAATTCTAGAAAACAGAGATCTGCTTCAAGACGCGGCTTCTCCTGCTGAGATGTTTCATGTGTATGTTGATGACATTTTCTTTCTAGATCATTCTAGATAAGTAATAAATGATGTGTTTTCTGAGCTTGATAAGTGATTTGCTTTCTGACCTTGTTTCTGGATTTCCTGGAAATGGCTTTTCCTCTACTCAGCTTTTTTTATCCCTGGTTTCCTGGATCCCATGTGTTGTTTTTTTTTTTTTTTTGTTTTTAATGGACTTCCTCGCTGGAGGAGGGCACAGCCTCGGTCAGCTTCCGGAGACGAGATGTGGCTGTGGTAAGGCCGTGAGACACTGAACATCTAAGACTGTTTCTATTCTGTTATACGGAACAGCCAGTTATAGATGCCTATGGAGGAGGATCTAGGCTGGAAATAACAGACTCAAACTCCTGAGCTGTTCCACTGTCTCCTAGCTTACAGCCCCCAGCCAACCATGCTGGCTCCGTGTGGTCTTTTCCCTCTGCCAGCTCTGAGGAGCCTCTCTCACCCCTGGAGGCCTGACCTGTCGGACAGCACAGCCTGGTCTGGAGTCCTTTCCAGCCATCGTCTGGGCCGTCTATCAGAGCCCTGAAATCTCTAACTCTCCATTTCCTACCCAGTTATTGACGATAATGTTGAAAGGCATTGGAGCCTTGCCTCTGCTACCTGATTTCTTCCTTTGATGTTGGCAACACTCATTAATGAACCGTGATGGTTCTAATGCTATGGCTTTGCCCACGGGCGTTATTTTCAAGTTCACTTTTCTCTGTGTCCTTATTTTTTTTTTAAAGTGAGAGGCTTTAAAAAAATTCCTTTGTGAAAATTCCTCATTCCTTTACTTGCACCTTTACTTAACCGGCAAGCAGGTGTTGGCTTCTTATCTTGTGACAGGAATTGGAGCCGATCTGAAGACGTGTAAATCTCCCGGCCTCACGTTGCTCACGACCTAATGAAGGAGACATAGTTCTCTAACATTTACACCATCTCCTAGGCTGGAAACACTGCCCCAAGCTGTGGTCTGGGGCTTTCTTGGGGGGGGGGGCGGGGCACGGTTCCTTCTGGGAATTCAGGCTGGTGAACTGGAGCCCGCTAAACTTGCACTGATGTCTGTCTGATAACGACACGCTGCAGAATTCCGAGGAGTGTCCACATCAGGGTGGAGATAACTGGAAGGGTTGGGGTAGGGAAGCAGCTCTGGCCCACCCAACCTGGGAGAGCAATTCACCTGCTGAAGGAGAGTTCTGCCTCACTGCCGGTTGCAAGCTTTGGGGAAGCATCGAATTTCTGAAGCTTTGCTGACACGGTGCAGTCTCAACACCAGTATCCCTCTTCCCAGAGATAAGGACAGGCCACTCACCCAACATCTGGGAAGACCCCCTAGTTCCCAGGCACAGAGCCACTCTGATCAATTACCTAAGACGGCTCATTTGAAGAGCATTTGGCAAGCTCTGAGACCACTAATCAAGATGAGCTCTGATGGGCAAACAGAAACAGAAGTGTTCTAGCAGATGTACTTAACAGATTTCAAGGAAATCTTATTTATATTAGCAGCAAAGATTTAGTAAACATTTACCAGGGGTGTCGAATGTATCTCATCTGACTGCCTCAAAACAGAGGTCATTTACCTGTGTCTGTTTGGTAAAGGAAGACACTGAAACTTACAGGAGATATGTTGCCCACAGCCACACACCTAATGAGTGCACAGAACTGGCACTTGACCTTGCTCTGACTCCAAGCATTTCCCAGGAGAAGTAACTCGTGCGGTTTGGAATGGAAACATCTATCCCTAGGAGTCCATGAACAATGAAGGTCCACGGGGCTCCCACTGTCCCACGTGGCAAAACACTCACAAGTAGGTGGACTGGACACCACTCTGTGCCAGACAGTGTTGCTTCAGAAAACATTTCTTGGACCTGACACACCTCTTCCGCACATTCTTCAAGGAACACGTGAAATAAGGCGCTGCTCGCTCTCTGGAGCTCGGGCCTGTCCTTTACTCCCACTTAGAACCAGGATGCGTGGTGGTCACCCTGTGTGGCTCGGGGCCATGTTAACGCGCTGCTGTTGGAGCATAGCAGCAAGGAAGGTTTCCCGATAGCCGAGCCTGATCCCTGCAGCTCCGGGCCTCTTTCGAAAGCATCCATCCACCACAGCTTCGTTGGTCTCATAATGTCATCGTAATGTAATTTCGATTCCAATTTGTCATTGATGGGATTTGGACTGCTTTTTGAAAGTTCTGTGGATTTTTTTTTTTTCCTGTGGCCCCTGAAGAAAAGTTGGAAGCAAGTACTACAGAGAATATCTAACATATGGGCCGTTAAAAAAATATGTACATAGGGGCGCCTGGATGGCTTAGTCGGTTAAGCGTCCGACTTTCACTTAGGTCATGATCTCACGGTTCGTGGGTTCGAGCCCCGCGTCGGGCTCTGTGCTGACAGCTAGCTCAGAGCCTGGAGCCTGTCTTCGGATTCTATAACTCCCTCTCTCTGATGCTCCCCTGCTCACGCTGTCTCTATCTCTCTCTCAAAAATAAATAAAACATTTTTAAAAAATTCAAAGAAGACATCTAGATGGCTAACAGACACATGAAAAGATGTTCATCATCACTTACCATCAGGGAAATGCAAATCAAAACAATATCACCTTCACACCTGTAAGAATGGCTAAAANATCTCACGGTTCATGGGTTCGAGCCCCGCGTCGGGCTCTGTGCTGACTGCCAGCTCAGAGCCTGGAGCCTGTTTCAGTCTGTGACTCCCTCTCTTTCTGAGCCTCCCCTGCTCACGCTCTCTCTCTCTCCTAGAAATAAATAAAACATTTAAAAATATATATATATACATAGTTTATTATTAACACATAAAGTTACCTATAAATCTGAAAGGATCTCCAAGGCCATCAAGGCAAGCAAGCAGCCCCTCATGTCACGGAACTCCCTGTTAATGCTGAGGGGGTTCGCTGGGTGGTGTAAGTTAACATGCCCACTGTGCTCCCCAGATCTTTCAGGGGGGTTCTGCGTGTCACCTCCCTGAGTGCCAGCATTTGACAAAGGGCTGTGACGCTCCCTTGTCTAGGTCATGTGTGGGGGTTGCTTTCGGCACTGCCTTACAGCCCACACCAAGGAGCTCCTGCACGAAAGCCAAGGGTTCAGATAGACACCAGGTACACTGTGCATACTGCAGGCTGCTCTGGCAAAAGTTCCTCATTGGCTTTAGTGGCACTTACTCAGTTCTGTGTTGGCACATACATCATGTGCGAAGGGGCGCCTGGGTGGCTCAGTCGGTTAAGCGTCCAACTTCGGCTCAGATCATGATCTCATGGTTCGTGGGTTCGAGCCCGGTGTCAGGCTCTGTGCTGACAGCTCAGAGCCTAGAGCCCACTTTGGATTGTGTGTCTCCCTCTCTCTCTGCTTCCCCCCACCCACACCACTCATGCTCTGATTCTGTCTCAAAAATAAATAACACATTTAAAAATATTAAAAAATAAAACAAAATGCATCATCTTCTTGGTGCCAGCAGCTGCAGATGCTCCTAGACACCACCTTCTGAGCATTATGCTCTTTACGACTGTGGCCCGTAATCAAAACTTTAAACTCCTACAAATGACAGTAAATGTAGTAAGAGTACTCTCCCTTGACACTGGGGA